TGTACAGCTGCTGTCACGGAGCAGACTTGAATCTCACCCATGGAGACCGGCAGGCAAACAGGTGTGTCTGCTGAGATGCTCGCCATGCCCCGAGGTCTGAAGGGCAGCAAGAAGGATGGAATCCCTGAGGACCTAGACGGGAACTTGGAAGCACCCAGGGATCAGGAAGGTGAGCTCAGGAGTGAGGATGTCATGGACCTCACAGAAGGTGACAGTGAGGCCTCAGCCTCAGCTCCTCCTGCAGCCAAAAGACGGAAAACACATACGAAAGGCAAGAAGGAGAGCAAGCCCACCGTGGATGCGGAGGAGGCTCAGAGGATGACAACCCTGCTGTCTGCCATGTCTGAGGAGCAGCTGTCCCGCTACGAAGTGTGTCGCCGGTCAGCGTTCCCGAGAGCACGCGTTGCGGGTCTGATGCGGGCTATCACTGGCAGTTCGGTGTCGGAGAACGCGGCCATTGCCATGGCTGGAATAGCCAAGCTCTTTGTTGGAGAGGTGGTGGAAGAGGCCCTGGACGTGTGTGAGATGTGGGGAGAGACGCCCCCGCTGCAGCCCAAGCATTTAAGGGAGGCCGTTCGCAGGTTAAAGCCCAAGGGCCTCTTCCCCAACAGCAACTGCAAAAGAATCATGTTCTAGGCCCAGGGCCAGAGGGCAGGGTCTGTTTGTGCAGGAATAAGTACCGCGTTCATCTTCCAATGACAGGAGTGTGTGCGCCGGAGCTCCCGCATCTCAGTCCCACCTGGATTTACCCACGATCTTCGTGTCTTAAAATGCGAAGTTGCCCTTACCTGGATGAAGACAGCAGATCGCTTCATAGGAGCCTTGGCTAAATCTTTGGGCATTTTAATGGGATGTGGAGGCGTTTCTCTATGTCTTTCCAGCTGGAGGAATCAAGGTGCCTGGGCCTAGAGCATCCTGTGGACAGGCAGCTGCATTCAGAGAGGGAAGCCCTTCCCAGGAGATCTGTATGGTTTCCTGCTGAAGCCTGGTGTAGCTCTGTCTTAGCTTGTAGGCTTATGTCTGGGTTCCAGTAATTGGAGCTTGCAGAAATGTTTCCCCGATTGTTGTTCTTCTGTAGAATTTCAACGCTCATATGTATTTTTGTGAGTCACCACGAAAACAGTTAAACTGATCAACCGTTTTCCAAACTGCAGACACCAAAATGAAATCACAAAGCACTTTCTTTTTTTCCCCTAAGTTGACTCTTCTATTCCTGCCTGCTGTGCTTTATGTCAGCAAGTGACCCTTTCCTGTATTATAATGCAGTATAGTATAGATGCATCATGTAAGACCAGAGAGAAACCGATTCCAAAACCACCTTTCCTCAAGCCGCCGTTTGTAACGACCATATGGGCGGTTTGAAGGACACAGAGAGAGCCTATTGACACTTCACTTTCGCTACACGTGGTGATTTTTCCAGTGCTTCCGGAGACACTGAAATTTAGTTCCAAACATTGCCTTAGAGGATTCTTGATTTTATTCATTCTACCGATGATCCACTCAGAAAATCAAACCTGAGTACGGAGACATTGGAGAAGTCGTTAAAGT